GGGGATCGAAGTTGGGTCATTGCACTTGTGAGGCAGGTGGCAGAACCGCTGAGCTAAATCCCAGCCCCTCTTATATATATTCTAGATATATCCTGATTATTAATCCTCTGTCAGATGAATAGTTGGTAAATATTTTCTCCCATTCTGTAGATTATCTCTTCGCTCTTCATTATTTCCTGTGTGTGCAGAAGCCTTTTAGTTGGATGCAATCCATCTGTCTATTTTTGGTTTTGTTTCTTATGCTTTTGAGGTCAAATCCCCAAAAAACCCAAAATTGCCTGTACCAATGTCTTAAAATGTTTCCTCTATGTTCTCTTTCAGTAGTTTCATAGTTTCAGGTCTTATATTTAGGTCTTTGACTTGGTTTCAGCAAATGCTTTTAATGTGAAAAAATTCCTATCATGCACTGAATGTCTTAGTACTTTTCTTGAAAAGTTACATATCTGGAATATTTCAGGTGGAACATGTTTTCTTGGTTGTCCCGTTAACCCTCAGCATGGATGTCACAGCACATCTTCCTTCTGAAGAGATTCAACAAAATGTCCACCAGTATTCTTCTATTCTTATAAAATTTTTAGTTTATGTGCCGTCAAAGCGATCACTCATTCTTATAAAATTTTATACAGATTTTAAGAAACTTCACTGGACTCCAGTAAATGCTCTATGGATTTTAAACAACAGTTTATACTGCCGATCAGTTGATGATGAGTTGTCTGTCTCTAGATGGTCCATGATGGAAGGAGGCATCTCCCTCCCTCCTTCCATGAGAGCAAATTGCCTCCTCATCTCTTTCTGGGTTTCATGGGTACCTCTTGTGAGTAAGCTCTGGGCATTCAAGTTAACGCGGCTGTCAATGCACCAAGCCCAGGCATGACTGATCATGAAGGTGGGACTCAGGCAGACAGCTGGGACCTCCGTGGAGTCTTGTTTAGTCTGTGCTCTATCAGGGTCCATGCTGCCCACCTGGCTGTCTCCTTAGACCTTCCGAGGGGCTTCAGGGCACAACATATACGCTGCCAGTAGCACACATCTGCAAGGAACAGGCAGCAGAAGTGACATCTTCAAGGTGTGGTGGGAGACCAGGGGCTGAGAGTTGAGTTTTTCACAATCCCAAGGCCACAAGCTGTCTTCCAAAGACCTAAATTCAGGCCCCCTGGCTCTGTGCACAGACTTACTGAGGCGGCATCACATAGCCAGGTCACATATGTGGTGTAAAAATCTATTTCCTGCTGTTGACAGGAAAAATGTTCAGAAGGAACATCTTGGCTTGATTTCCTATGACACAGGTGACATTGCTGGTCACTCTCTCCCTTACCCCAAACAACAGCAGCTATAGCAACTGTTTTAGCCACTTCCTTCAAAGAGAATACTAATCATCGACAAAGGCAATGACAGCTAACCTAAGCAATGGCCAACATTCCAAATGGAATTATTAACTGAAGCCACCTGTCCTGGTGCTCTCCTACCAGATGCCCAGTCGGGTCCTATCTTCTTGCCTCCACATTATGATTTGGGTCTAGATGTCCCCACAAAGACTCATGTGGTCATAGGTAGCTGAACCTAGAGTGTGTGATGCTGGGATTAGGGTGGGTGGTTACTAAATCGGTACACTGATTGGTTTGGCACTGCCCGAATCCCAGTAGCCTGGATACAATACAAAGGACAGAAAGAGGCTCGTCTTCTCCCGTGCTGCTTTTGTTGTCTTCTGGTGCCATGCACTGTTGCCCCTCTGCCATGTGCCACCCTGCCTGGGGGCCAGCCGACTATGGACTGAAACCTCTACAAACCGTGAGCTAAATAAACCTTTCCTCCTTTAAGTTTGGGTAACAGGTATTTGTCTCAGAAACAAGAGAAAAGTAGCTAAGACACTCCACTTATGTGCCCTCCACCTCGTACAGACCTTCTTTTCATTCATGCCTCAGACCCCCTCTCCTGTCTCTGAACAGAACAGTGTGTCCTTACTGCAGGGTACTCAGTTCCCTACCATTCCTCATATATACAGCATGATGGTGAACATTATGTGTCAATCTAACTGGAGCACAGGGTGCCCATTTATTTGGTCAAACTTTGCTCCGGGTGCTTCTGTGAAGTGTCTTGGATCAGATTAACATTTAAATCACTAGGCACTGAATAAAGCAGATTCCCTCCCAAGATGTAGGTGGGGCTTGTCCAATCAGTTGAAGGCCTGAAGAGAATAAACCTGGCTTCCCCAGGCAAGAGGTCCTTCCCACGGATGGCCCATAGGCTTGAACTCCCCTGGACATCAGCTCCCTGGGTGCCCAGGCTGGGGCCAGCCTCATTTCCACATTCCTGTGAGCCAATGCCTTATAAGCCTCTTTCTTTGTATGGACACGGCCTGTAGGTCCTGTTTCTCTGAAAAACCCTGACCAAAGCAAGAATTAGGCCGAATATCCTACCATTTTATTCACAAGGCAAAAACCCAGGTCCAGTTATACTTATAGATAGTTTCACTATCTGAATCTTCTTTACGGCTTTGGCTTGGCAGTGATCTCTAGTGGGAAGAAAGCATACCTGAGCCTAGCCAAGCTCCTCACCAGCACACAGCTTCAGGACCTACTGGTGCCTCAGAACTGCCCACCCCAACCCTCCCGCTCACGGTTGTTCTAAGGAGGAGCTTCTTCCCTGGGTGGAAGTCCAGGGTGGCCCTGACAGCCTGCTCTCCCCAAGACCATGACAAGCCTAGCACTCCAAGTCAGCGTACTCAGTTCTCAGAGGGACAGTTCTCAGGAAGGGAAGAAGCACGGAGACTGGCAGGAGCCCTACTGGGGACAACGGGCGCTGTTGGCTCCAGCTACCATCACCAGACCCACCCACGGTGGCTCCAGCAGCACTCATTTGCTCTTCACAGCCCTGGAGGCCAAGGTGTTCGTAGATCCCAAGGTTGCACAGAGGATCTGCAAAGGTCTCCTCAGCTGCTGATGGGTTTCTGGTGTTCTCTGGTGTTCCTTGGCTTGTAGGTGGATCACTTTGATCTCTGCCTCCATCCTCGAGCAGCCTCCATGTGTCTGTATCCAAACTTCTTCCCATTAGGGTCACATTGGATTAGGGACCAACCTGCTTCACTATGACCACTTAATTCTCAACTGCAGCCACCCTGTTTCCAGTGTCACTCTGAGGTGCTGGGGTGAGTGTTAGGGTTTCAGCCCAGGCCTTTGCAGAGGTGGAGTGAGAGAGGGTATGGGGAGAGCTCTGGACCGCAGTGCAGGTCTAGCACCGAGAGGAGAGAGGAGGGTGGGAGGAGGAGCTTCAGGCCATGTTGTAGTAATGAGAAAAATGTGGCAGGCTGTTGGAGGACCAGAGGAAGTGCCCACTAGAGAGGTCCTGGGGCTGGTTAGCCCCTGTAGCCAAGGCATTGTACCAGTCGGTGCTCCCCTTCTTTGAGGAAGAGGAGGGGTGGACCCCAGAGGGCAGCACCAGGCTGTCGACCAGGATTCTGCTGAAGGACAGCTGAACAATGCCCCCCACCAAGAACATGGAAAGAAAGCACAGGCCATCTCATCTGTGAGTGTTAATGTGAAGATCCCAGGTATATACCACTATCCAAATCCCACATGATACATAAGAACATCGATACATCATGAGTAAGCATAGCTCATCCCATGCATGTGTAAATGAACATCAGAAAATCTGCCAACAAACTAGCCACATGTTCGAGTTATTGCAGACACCTAAAAGTATTCCCATGTTGCTCGGGGATGTGTGGGTCAGAAACCTGGGGAGAGCTCTGCAAGGGCGTTCACTCTCATGACCCAAGTCTGCCACATGACCTCCTGGGTGTGGCAGTCCCAAGCAGCCAGACTTCAGCATGTAAGGGTCCCCAGAGTGAGGGGCATAGAGGCCACGCAGCACCGCTCCCACCACGTTCTCTGCTCACACAGACCATGTCTTCACACACTCAAGGGGGAGGTCAGAGATGGGACATCTCAGAGGAGGACTGTCACGAAATCTGTGACCACTTTTCCTAAACTGCCATACAGTAGGCTAAAGGAGAAGAATAAAACTGTGCTCTCAACAGGTGTCAAAAGATGATTTTAACATTATGCTTACCTTTTTCTTTTTGAAAAAGAATGCCAGAAAACAAAGAATAAAAGGAAACTTACTATCTTAAAAAGGCAATATAACAAAACTAACAGATAATAGCTCAGACAATTTATAATTCTTACTAAGACCAGGAATAAGCCAAAGATGCCTGCTGTCTGCTACTATTTAACACAACACTTGATGTTTTGGCCAAAGGTATAAGACATGAAAATGAAATAAGTGTAAAGATTGAAAGAAAGATATAGACCAGGGAAGGGGAGGGAGTAAGAGTGGGTAAGAAAGGGGGTGGGAAGACAGAATACATCACACGAATTGAAACCTCCCAAAATGTGAAACCAGGGATGATGGCAGGGGAAGGGGTAATGGAGGTGAAAATGACGAAAGTATATTATATGCCTGTATGAATCTGCCAGAATGAAACCCATTAATCGGTATAACTAAGTTTTAAAGAGTAGAAAAAAGAGATAAACTGCTATTATTTGTGGTTGGTAAGATCCTCTGCATAAAATCTCCCCTTCACAAGATAGATGTATTTTAGAACTAATAGGAAATTCAGGCTACCACACATAAAATCAGCCTATTATCATTTCTCTACTTCAACAACAGTCAACTAGAAAACAGTGT